CCCCAAAACCCCAAAACCCCAAAACCCCAAAACCCCTTGGGAGATAAATATTTTTGAAACTAATAAATTCTCTAAAAATAATGGGTTGCTGGAATTCTAATACAGGAGGCACTAAGCCAGGTAAGAGTCTCTCTAATCCCCTAGTAAATGATGAAAGAGGAATTTTGAACAAGCAATGGGGTAAGTTACAAGCCTAATTTTGACAGAAAGCGAGTTAAACAAATAACAAGCCTTCAACACCAGCAGGTCTTTCAAGTACAGTTCTAGATCCTAGGAGGAGCAGTTTCGACGAGTCACCTAACATTGGAGAGAAAGGTACGCAATTAGAGTCATGTACAGATCACACAGCTGATACACACCTTATCAAGTATGGCAATCTTGTTTATCATCTAGGAATAGAAAAGCCAGCATGAGTTTGGAAGAAGAGAAAGAGACCAAAGGAATCAGAATACGTAGGATTATGACAGAAAAACAGGTAGCCATGATTGCTAAAGCGAACCCAGAGATGCTAGACCTTAAAGCTAAGGAGATCATCTCGAGTCTGAACAACAGAAATCTCAGGAGGAACAATCAGTTACAGTCATTAGGTGGTAACTGTAAGTAGTCAAGTCTTCATAACTTCATTCGTAATTTTACGAGTCTTTTTGAAATGTGACTTTTAAACTTCACTGTGCTTTGATTACCAGCAGATTACTAGTTGAGGTTATAAACCAAGATAAGACTTAATAGTGGATTATTTAGCACGAAACCTAAGTGCTCCTGGAACACTTTAGCCTGCATAATTCTGACAAGTGCTATGTACAAATCTCTTAAGCTTTAATAGCCTTCAGCAAAAATCTTGAGTCTCATTTTTATCGTCAGATTTAATAATAGAAAATTTTCCAGAATTTGTGAGTGATCCCTTTATAGTTGGTTCAGTGAACCACAGATCAATGGAGAACAAGTTTGACTTAGATGTAAAGCCTATTAATGAGGAGAAAGGACCTACGAACTTTGGTGATACACCAAGACTAGTTCCTTCTTCGATCGATAACCTAGCAGCTGAGCAGGGTAATGTTAGTGGGCCTAAGAACAATTTACCACTGGAGACACCTAGAAGCTTCGAGTCTAAAACATCAAGGTATTTGTGATAAAAGAATCATATTTAGCCTTAACCGAGCAAGGATTATTACTAATATTAATGAGATTAACGATGATATACCAGAGCATGAATTGGAAAATCCCTTAGCCACAGATAAGAATTATGAAAAATAAGAAGACCCAGGCTCATGCTAGGAAGCAGGAATTGGAAGACCTACTTAAAGAGATTGATGATGATTCTGATGATCTAAAAATTGAGAATAAACCTAAGAAATATCCTACTGAGGTCTCTGAGACTCATCAATCTTCAAAGTAATTAATTTGGCTCATGATTTAGCATAATGACAACAAAGTTTACCCAACCTTATTTGCAAAATAATGAAGAGGTTGAAGCGAAGGAATTTAATCTACAAACTCCTGCCCAAGATGAGGAATTTAATGCTAAAAGTAGGATTTCTGATTAAAATTTAGTAGAAGAAAGTCCTCTAAAGTCATCCTCACCAAGAGATTGGAATTCTCCACAAGTCGTTCTGGATAAGAACGACCAGAGTTTTCTTGATGCTCCTATTGAGCCAAAAGAAGAGGTTGGTAACCTCGAATGGGATTTTTAATTACTTATTTTATTCAACTCAGAAACACCTTAAAGGGGTTTTGGGGTTTTGGGGTTTTGGGGTTTTGGGG